ACAGAGATGGATATGGCAATTGTTTTGAAGTGAAAGAAGCAATCATAGCAGGAAGACCTCGCTCGAGAGTAAGCTGAACTTGACTACCAGAAGGCTCGTAATTTGCAATGCACAAAGTCAAAAGTTGACTATCAAAGAGGTGTGCTCCGAAGCTACCATAGCCACAACCTATGTCTAGTATGGTTCGAATCTGGAAATTTCAGGAAGCCAACATTTATCAATCAAAGTTTAAGGTATGGAATATCATAGTCAAACTTAACTCAACTCGGTTTCAAAGTCACCAAAATCTATCAAAACACAAGTCCCTCCAGACACAGGTTAGAACAAACAATTTCAGACGAGGGTACAAGCTTATAAAGCATATAACACATCTACAAAATTACATTTTATTCCCCCAGATACTATATGCAATATTCATATGTTCACTTTAGATAGTTAATAATTAATATATGCACGGTATCTGACTTCCGTTTGGGCCACAACATAAAAAAAAATTATGTTGCCAAAACCGCGTGTGACTGCGATTGAGATCGGCATAAGCCGCATTTGACTTAGATTCTTTGCAACACCAAGAATTGCGACGCAGTCGCAACCGTGACCACTATTTGAGTAGACGGAGAATCTCCTCTATATATGCTGAGTTCTTCGTCAAGCAAGTACCAAATAAGTGAAGTGTAAATATGATGGATCATAAGACACATCTCGAAAAAATGAAACCAACAAATATTCAATTTACCAATTTCAATAAAGAGCACATATACGCTTACCCCAGCTTGTCTGAAGGAAGATTCATTTCTAAGTCCAATCATTTCAGCAATCTGATGTGAGTAGTCTTCAACTCCATCAAACATATGAGAGGCTGAACGAAAGGAAATTTGTTCTTCATCCAACATCATCATCCTGTAATTGAATGAATAAAAAATATTAAAACTTAACCGACAAAAAGATTAAAGATAGCAAGCATGCTTTTAACGGTTTATCTGCAATGGTATCGCAAGCGCAATTTTAATTGTATCAGCCACACTTTCCCCGATATAAAGGTTTGCAGCGTAACCGCAGCTGCGAGGTTACAAGAGAGTGAAAGAGACATGTCAGTTACCTTTTGGTCAAGCTTCCAGAAGAAAGAACCTCTTGGGCAGTGATTTTTACATTAGCAACCCAAATAACATCTTTTCCAGTAGGCCATCTAAGAGGAACTTTGTAATTAACTGGTGGCAGAACCAAACAATTTTGCCTCTGCTCATATTCACATTTCCTTTCAAACTCATTTCCATCAGAAACATTAAAACAAGGAACAAAGTTTTCCAACTCAGAAGAACAAGTTTCCAATTCTTTCCACCTTGAAGCACCCCTAGAAAACTCACCAATATCCATCAAATCAGAAACAAGTTTCTCTTGGAGCCTCCTATAACCATGGTAAACGCGGCCTCTTGACGAAGATGACAAATTCAAAGTCCACCAGAAAGATCCAACAAGAGCAAGAACAGCAATAAAAACTAAACTAAACTTCAATGAAAACAACAGCAACTTAAAACGGCTTCTTGGGGTGCCAACAATGAATGGATCAGATGCAAAACCATTCTCTTTATCTGAAAAAACCAACCTCAGAGGAGACTTCAATCCTAAAGGAGTGTGATCTGAAGAACCCCTTTTATCAAAATCATCTTTTTCTGTTTTGTCTTTGGATTGTGAGTCCCATGATGAATCATTGATGCTGTCAGGTACACGAATTCCAGACACACCTCTATGTAGAGGCCTGGACATTCTCTATCTCTGAATAACCACAACACAGAAAACTTCAATTTTCAATCTTCAACTATTAAATCTTCAAACTAATAAAGTTCTTGACACTGAAAATGAAGAGTAAGAAACCAATAGACAGGTGTTGTTTATGTCAATTCAACACGTTATCAGTTTTTGACAAGAACCCATTTTAAGGAATCACAAGTAAACAAAACCATAATTAAGAGAAAAATGAAAGTTAAATAAGAAAGAGAATAGAAAAGAAGAAAAAACAAAACTTTTTCCTGTAAAAGGAATCCAAAACAGAGGAATAAAGACAAGAAAAAGGAGTAATTAATTCACCGCATCTGATATAAATCACGGACCCAGTAATGAAATGGATATATATAAGTAACCATTAAAACCAAAACTTAAAAAATTGCAAATTTTGAAGTATATGGGTTGGTGAGCAGCATTAACAGATTACATAACAGTGAATTTCCACTAGCAGGTCAAAAACCATTATTCAAATCAATAGTTACTAAAAACGAACTATTGAAAAACTGAATTGGTGTGATTATAGATCAAAGAAAAAAGAGAAGCAATAGTATAGTACCTAGTTGTTTGTTTGATGATAAAAAATACAGACTTGCAATGCAAAACACAATAGATTAATGGTTTTGTTGTGTTTTGTGTAATGTGAGAGTGTGTGTGGTTGTTGTTCTATATTTCTCTTTGAGTCATTTCGTCGAATGATTAAAGTGCATTGGAAATGAAAGAGAGAGAAAGAGACAAAGAATGAGTTAGCTACAAGCAAGAGAAAGAAGCAAGATGCAAGCAGATTTTGTACTGATCCGATTTCAGCACAGACACTGCTTCGGTTTCAGTACAATTTAATAATATTCTGAAATTTCCAATTTTTTACAGTAGTACCAAGTTTTTGTTTTCTCTTTCTTTTTGACTCGAATACTAAAGTTTCTTAAACATTTTTCTCTGACATCTTTTTTCAAATTTTCTATTTTATTTTTCACAATAGAAAAATTAATAAAATAAATATAAGATTAATTGAGAGCAATAAAAATTTGACTCAAAATTGTAGATTCAACTTCTATTGATGATTAAAAAATTTGCTGAGACTTGAGATCTGTTCTGATTCTGATAACCTCTCATAGTTGAACTTAAAAAAATAATTTGGCAAAAGAATTTTATAGAGGACATTTTTGTCATTAAGTATCTAGTGATTTATTCTGGTGAAAATATAAATATTGGTGATAATTTAAAACTTGTACTAAGAAAGAAAAAGTTGTAATAATTGTTAACTGTCCTGTGTGAAACTTAACTGTAATTAGAAATAATAAATGAACGCGCTTATCTTTGCCGGTGGATTTTCAATTCTATTTCTGCACTCTGAAAGGTACTTAAGATTGATTAGAAGGTAGCCTAATTAATTAAGTAATTAAACAAAACAAAACATAGAAAAGGATAGGCAGCTAATCGTGTCCTATGGAATAGAACATGTGTGATTAAAATGGCACATGACACTTTTTTCTCATTTGGATCTATCTCATCTTTTTATAAGGTGTCAATGCCAGCTTAAAATAAAGAAGAAAAAAACTTTTCTTTAGAAAGTTATTCATGGAAAGTGATGTAAATTGGTAAGTACTAACCTTTCAAATTTACCGTATTACTAAGTACTAACCGTTGTAATAAGCTTATAGATGTCGGTAAATTGGGATTCTATCACCACTTCTTTGTTGATGGAAATGGAATAAACTAGCTATTTTGACTTGAGGCTGAATTGAAATGCTGGATATTATTAATTAATAAATAAATCCAACAATTGGTGTGCATTCACATTGATCAATTAGGCAGTCATAATTGCAAGAGGGGTCACATTGTCCTCGTTCATTAAATATTGTTTGATAGCATATGGATATGTTTGTGGCGGTTTGGTAGAAATTCACTTTCTACTTGCTTTGTGAATACTTGCCCAATTCGTTGGTGCTTTGGGTGAAAATCCATTCAACTAAGAGCAAATGTTTGCGAAATCAGTAAACACCAAGCAACTGTTTTAAATATTGGAGCGCCAATCTTGTGCTCAAACCTCGAGTTGGAGCTTCTAATAGGCAGACAATTTTTTTTTTTAATAAGATCTTACGGGTTTAAATTCGCGTTCTTTTTTAAAAAGATGGTCATGTAATTTAATTTGTTAATATCTAAGATTTGTTAAAACTGTAAATATATTCACAAATTTAAAATGTTTTTTTTATTAATTATTTTAATTTATGAATTTTTTAATAATTAATTTAATTCTCAAATGTGTATTTTTATTCGTCTATTATATATTACAATGTTAAACAAAATATTGCAATATTGTATTCAACATGTAAATGTTAGAATATAGTTGGTTAATAGAATAACTAACTAAGAATTAGTTATAAAAATAATTAATTATGAGTGATTTTTTGCTATACTAGTAAGAAATTCATGTGTCATGTACGGATAAATGAATTTGTTATAAAAAGTTATTAGCAATAAGTTATAGTATAAATAAATATAAATGTGTTAACATATAAGTTACATAACCAATGTTGAAAAAAAAGGAAAAGCAGGAGCAATAAAAGAGAAAAAGAGATAGTATACATATGGAAATACAAATTAAGGAAATGTAGAACCTGTAAGGAAAAATAGAAAAAAGTTAGAAAGTTAAAATTAGGAGGAAAAGAATGAAAGAAAGAAACATAGTTATAATTAATACAAATTTTACCTCTTATATGTTATGAAAAACTTATTTAAAAATCACATTTGTAGTTGAATTCAAATTTTGTATTTGCTTGTTATGAATTAAGACTTTGAGTTCTTCTTTTGTTTTGACTTTAGAAAATGCTATGTATAGATATTTATGACTAAAAATCTCTTTAGGCAAATATAATCCGACATAATCTAAGCTTTGACCTTATGATTTATTGATAGTCATTGCAAAGGAGACAATAATTGAAAATTGTCGTCTCACAAGTTTGAATGGTCATGATGACTGTGAAAGAGACATAGACATCCTTGGAATAAATGTGATACTCCCTATATTTTTTTTCAGAGATTATTTTTGTCTCAATAACATGGATTTTAGCTTAGTAACAATCAATCCTGTACTATTACACAACCCCTCAGACTGATCTAAATTCCGCAACAACATAATAGTTATGCCAACTTTCAAATTTATTGAATGATTTGGTAAGTCAGAATTTTTCAAACAACTCAAGAAATCAGGTGTTAAATGTTCAAAAAGCATCAAAATTAGTAGCTTCAGAATGGTGAATAGAATCACAACTTAGATATTCCTTCTCATTTCCTAAAAAATAAACAAAATCTTAACAAAATTACAAACGTGCTTGCAACAGTAAAGATAATAAAGAATTATTGGTACTGAGAGAAAGTACTTGTTATTAGATTTGGGACATAAGCATTTATATAATCGACATCATTAATAGTTGAAGCCAAGATTTTTCTACATTGAACATAATAAGGATCTTTGTAGTTGGTAATAAAATTCGGATATATACTTGTAACAATTGCTTCAATATGATCGGTAAAATCAAACAATAAGAACTCATTTGGAATTGAGAGTTCAGCATATCCATCACTAGGTTCAGATACTCTGTCATCACTAATTTGTAGTATCCAATCAGAAAACCTTATGATTTGTTCTGGTGTTGATGAAGAAGAACCATAATTTAGGCACATATTCTTTCTAAGTCGTAAGACCTTACAATGATCCCAAATGTAAGAAGCACTTATTGTGGCATGTACAATATTAGCTCTAGTACCTCTTGGGATAACATGTAGAATTTGTCGAAAATCACCACCAAAGACAACAACATTTCCTCCAAAAAATTTCTTTGAAGCATTTTTGGTTTCATTTGTAACACCCTTTTCTACCCTACAAATATAATGGCAAATCAATCACATTTATCAGAGTAAAATATTAAACACAATAAAAATCACCTCAAAGGGCGTACATTTCTCAATAACTCAAATAAAAGTCAATACTTCGTAAACAACGGATTTTACCAAAATTACTCAAAAATTGCTCAAAAGGCAGCGAAACTCAAAAGGGAAAAATCCAAAGTTTTCCTTGCGCAGCAACATAATCAAAATAAAAATAATGAATAAAACATGGTTTAACTCAAAGACTCCAGCCCGATGTTACACTATCAGAACAAGACCATCTAAGTCAACCAAAAGTCAAAAACTCCAAAAACTCCTCGGCATCCACGGCTAAACCTGGTCATTTGCACGTTACCCACGTGGAGGCAACATTCAAACAGGCAGGGTGAGTAAAACGATTCATAATAATCAATATATAAAATAACGTCATTTTCGTATTCAACATCATCACAATCATCAATGAAACATCAAAAAGCCATAATAACATAAATTACATCAAATTGTCACATAAATTCAAATGCAACAAGACTCATGTATGTGGTACCTATTCATCAAAGTTTGATGGACACTGGGCCATCAACCCTCCATATATCCCCATCAATAGGATCGATTCTACATAAGAACCGGAGCATAACAAAATACTTCACATCTGCACAATGGAACTGAAGCCACAAGAATCAAACACTAGACCGAAGTCCGAAATGCATATGAATGCATGATGCACACGTCAACATCATCCTCATAATAAACTCATTAGGTGCATCATCATGTTAAAACACAAATTGGTTCTTAATAATATATCTATGTTTTGATGATAACTATTATGAAATTTTGTAGTTAAGAATTATGTACTCTAAAATTTGCTTAAGAATGTTTGCTGCAGATATTAAAGTAAATATCACTCCAGAAGCAAATCAGATCTGAACATAAGAAATATGCAAGGCCTTGAAGCGTCAGAAGCATTCCTTAGAAGATTCTGAATGCTGGCATCAGAAGATTCTGAACGTTGCCTCCAGAAGGATCTGAAGCAGAAGCTCCAGAAGAATCTGAAGCAAGTCAGAAGCATCTGAACCAATGAAGAATTCTGTATGAAGAGTTTTCAAGAATAGTTATTTCAGAAGACTCTGATAGTACTAACGCTTCTAGTACTGAGGATTTGACCCAAAACTTTGCTCTGAACTTATACACGCTAAAAGCACACTTTCTGCAAAGACTCTGATTCAGCAAAACTCTGTTCAACATTAGAAGGCTTTGATTAAATTAGACTCTGATGATTCTTGCTGAAAAATTGTTGAAGAAGAATTCAAAGATTATGTCCGTTGGAATATCCAAACGACTATTTCCTTATTTATGTTAGACACAAGAACACAGACAAAAAGGATTTCTCTGTGCTTTCTTCTTCTAGGAAAGGTCACTTGATGTGAAGACAAAAAGGCTCATACCTTTTGGTACACTCTTATCAACGTGAAAATCTCTTGGATCACTGTGCCTATAAAAGCAAGTCTCCACTCATCTTCTTCAGTTGACGAATCACTTGAAAAGAATTCATTATCAAAGCTCTCATTCAACTCATATATTCTTGCTAGAATTAATTTCTTTATTCTTAATCTTAAGTGAAAAATCAAAGTTGTGATAAAGCTTTATTAGAAGCATCTTAACACTTGTATTTATTATTACATTTGATTGTAAGAAAACCTTAAGAAGATCCAGTTAGGATCAATAGTTCTTGAGAAGACTTTGAACAGTTGTTCTTAGTGCTTACTCTTATAATCAGTTGATTAAATAGTGGATTAAGTCCTTATTGAGAAAGGCAAATCACTCTAGAAAGGGTGGACTGGAGTAGTTGAGTTCAACGAACCAGGATAAAAATACTTGAGTTTTTACTTCTAAGTTTTTATCTTCATACTTATTCAACCCCCCTTTTAAGTATTTTCTCACCTTCAGTTGGCATCAGAGCTCCGGTTCTGTGTGTGCTACCACTTCACAGTGACAGAAAAGATCCAGTGAGAAAAACTTTGATATATATTTGGTTGTTACTATGGCTGATACTTCAATATCTAACATTAACAACAAATATGAAGAAAGGGACAGAATCAACACTAAACCCCCTATGTTTGATGGGGAGAAATTTGATTATTGGAAAGACATGATTGAAAGTTTTTTCCTTGGTTATGATGCTGATTTATGGGATTTGGTCATAGATGGATATGTTCATCCCATTGATGGGAATGGCAAGAAAGTAGATATAAAATCTATGACAGAAGCCCAAAAGAAGGAATTTAGAAATCACCACAAGGCTAGAACAATATTGTTAAATGCAATATCTCACACTGAGTATGAAAAGATCACAAATAGAGAAACTGCATTTGACATGTTTGAGTCCTTGAAGATGACTCGTGAGGGAAACTCTCAAGTCAAGGAAACAAAGGCTCTGACTCTAATTCAGAAGTATGAAGCCTTCAAGATGGAAGAAGATGAATCTGTTGAAGCTATGTTCTCCAGATTTCAAATACTTACAGCTGGACTAAAGGTTCTGGATAAAGGATACTCTACTGTTGATCATGTGAAAAAGATCATCAGAAGCTTACCTACCATATGGAGACCTATGGTGACTGCGCTGAAAATGGCTAAAGATCTGAACAAGATTTCCTTGGAGGAACTAATCAGTTCACTGAGGAGTCATGAAATTGAACTTGAGAAAGATGAACCTCAAAAGAAAGGTAAATCAATTGCCTTAAAATCTAATAAATCTGCTAAAGCATTGTAGGTAATAGAGGAAAGTTCTGAAGAATCCTCATCTGAAGATGAAGATGAACTATCCATGTTGTCCAGAAGAATAAACAAACTCTGGAAGCAAAAAGGAAAGAAGTTCAGAAACTTCAGGAAGCCTGACCAAAGAAAAAAATCTTCTGGACACAGAAGATCTGGTAAAAAGGAGGTTGTCTGCTACGAATGTAAAGAACCTGGGCATTACAAAAATGAATGTCCAAAGTTGTTGAAAGAAAAGCCTAAAAGAAAATCTGATAAGAAGAAGAAGGCTCTAATGGCAACCTGGGATGATTCAGATACATCTGAATCTGAATCTGAGTCAGAAGAGGAATGTGCCAACGTAGCATTGATGACAGACATAGAAGATCAGGAGGAAGGAATTTCAGGATCTGAATCTGACTCTGAATCTGACTCTGACGTTGAAGAGGTAATGGCTAAACTCACTAAAGATGAACTTATCAAAGTGTTATCAGAAGTTATGAAGAGCTATAACAATATTAAGCTCAAATACAAGAAGCGTCAAAGCAATCTTGTATCTGAGAATAATATTCTCAAATCAGAAGTAGCTGAGCTAAATGAAAAGAACTTAAAATTGAAAAATGATTATGAATTAGCTTAACAAGACTCTGATTCTGAAACTGAGTCTGAATGCAAAAATATTTTGGAAAAATATGACTACATCTTTCAGAAGTTTCTTGCTAAAAGCATAGACAGAAGCAAAATGGCTTCTATGATCTATGGAGTCAGCAGAAATAACAGAAAAGGAATTGGATATAAATCTTCCTCTGGAAAGGATTTAAATCCAAAACCTGTTGATAAAATTATCATCAAGAAGACTCCTTTATATTCCCACTTTAAATTTGGTCACTTGAATGATATTGAACACACTCGTTCTGAAAAGAACATTCATGTGTTTAAATCTAAGGCTAGTCAGAATAAACCTTATGTTGAAAAATAGAAGTTTAGACAAACCTTCAGAACAACTAACCCAAAAGGACCCAAGAAGATCTGGGTACCTAAAAGTAAAATAATTTCTGTTGCAGATGTTCTTAGCAGCAAGGTCAGGACGCCAATCATGGTACCTGGACTCTGGATGCTCGCGACACATGACAGGAGAAAGGTCTATGTTCCAAAGTCTGGAGCTTAGATCTGGAGGTGATGTGAAATTTGGAGGGAATCAGAAGGGCAAGATCATTGGATCTGGCACTATTGGAAATGGTAAACTTCCCTCTATTACTAATGGTTTACTTGTAGAAGGATTAAAGCATAATCTATTGTCCATAAGTCAATTAAGTGACAATGGTTATGACATAACCTTTAATCAAAATTGTTGTAAAGCTATTAGTCAAAAGGATGGATCAACCCTATTTAGTGGAAAGAGGAAGAACAACATTTATAAAATAAACCTTTCAGAACTTAAGGTTCAGAATGTTAAATCTCTCTTGTCTGTTAATGAGGAGCAATGGGTCTGGCACAGAAGATTGGGGCATATTAATATGAGACGTATATCTCAGATTAATAAACTTAATCTTGTCAGAGGACTTCCTAATCTGAAGTTCACTTCAAATGCTCTTTGTGAAGCATGTCAAAAAGGGAAGTTTTCAAAATCCTCTTTTCAATCAAAAGATGTTGTTTCTACTTCCAGACCATTAGAATTACTTCATATTGATCTGTTTGGACCAGTGAAAACTGGATCCATCAGACGCAAGAAATATGGATTAGTCATTGTTGATGACTATAGTAGATGGACATGGGTAAAGTTCTTAAAACACAAGGATGAGTCACATTCTGTGTTCTTTGACTTCTGCAAACAAGTCTAGAATGAAAAAGATTTCAAAATTATAAAAGTCAGAAGTGATCATGGTTGTGAATTTGAAAACAAATATTTTGAAAAATATTTTAATAAAAATGGCATTGCTCATGATTTTTCCTGTCCTAGAACTCCACAACAAAATGGAGTTGTAGAGAGGAAAAATAGAACTCTGCAAGAAATGGCCAGAACCATGATCAATGAGACTAATCTGGCA